ATCAATTATTAATGTTACAAAATTTTAGTTTTTCGCTACCGGGTATTTTTTTACAGTTATATATCGATGTAAATTATCATATAAAACCATTTTCCAAAAATGTGCATATTCCCTATTATTTACTTATAGACGATTTGTGTCTTGTTGGTTGTTCTAATCAAAGAAATAAGCGTATTCCACGCGGACAAAGCCGCGGGAGGAAAGTTACTAATTAAGATATCGTTACATGGAAAATTCTAGCTATTATTTAATGCAATTATTAGTTATATATTTTTACTATCAATAAACTTCATTATAATATATTTTATCGTTTTAATAACGAGTTTTTATCGATATTTGTTTAAATTAGTTGTATATTTAGTTTATCAATACTATTATGAAGAGAAAAATTTTATTGTATGTAAGCGCATACTATAGAACGACTGCACCAAATTGGATGGTACTTCTTTATGTGTTTCTTTTTATTAGGACAAGGTTTGTATATAAGAAAATTTATATAAAAAACAAAATAATTACTGGATTAATTAATCTGAATTAATTTTTACAATCTAATATCGAAGAATCTAATAAAAAAGTGATTGACGGTATGTGACAAAAGACTGACAGATCTATAATAATAATAAAATTTCCGCGTATAACGGAACAACTCCATATTGAATAAAAATATATATGGCGGTTACCCATGTCTGCTCATCTTCGTCTGAGACAAAAACAAACTGGAAAATGGTTCTTTAATATGTCAAAATATAAATGCATTTAGAATTAATTAAAAAAGAAAGTGACATTAAAAACACCTAAAATTGAAGCTGTTCCCAAACATTGGACGTATTATAATACTACTAAATTGAGGAGTAGTGATAAGGCAAATACTTTACGTAGAAACGTGAAATTTTGTAATTAGTCGGGTTATACCGGCCATTTTTACTCTCGATCGACTCGTTGACTCGTGCAAAATGCTTTCGTTAAATTCTTGTTATTTGTTTATTCCAGTTGTTAAGTTTTAAGTTAAATGAAATAAAATCTTTTTTAACCGATGCTCTAAAAAGGGTAACTTTTAAAAATTGATGGTATCATAGATGATTTGATTGACCGTTTTGTGATAGTAGTTGGAGCGACTAGTTCCTCAGAGGAAGATGGGAAAGATTCTGAATAAAATTATTTTACTCCTACAATTGCTATTTGAAAAATAAATAGACTTATTGTATTGTATACCTACCATACAATAATTTGTCCCATTAACAAATTTTATTTACATACCAACATCAACAAAAAAGTTTGAGAAACATTGGTTTGTTTGTTTACATTTTGCCTTAGAGGAAGTCGAATAGACTATAGATACTTCATACCCATACATTATAGCGTTTTAAAACAACGTAAACTTTATTGTGATAGCGTCACATTATACCACAAAGGGCGCAAGGAAATAAAAAATAGTTATCTCTCTATTAGAATTATACAGCAATGAATCATGTTAGAACGAGATAAACATACTTGCTTAGCTTACGTATTAACTTCAATCTCCCTTAAGCAGGGCTTGAAACCGGTTCAGAATAAACCGTTTTTATTTAAGTAAAACCTGTTCTCTTATAATGTTCCGTTCCGGATCGGAACTGAATGCGGATTTAAATTCGGATGGAATAAAAACCGGTTAATTCGTTTGGTTCGTAAAAAGCAATGTTCTTACGCTTTTAATGCGAATTATATCATTTTTAAGCGACGACATTTATCATACCTGTGTACAGATATTATAATTAGGAGTAAAGGCACTTTAAAACCGCGCTGAAGTTTGTGAGATCATTGTTTGGAGTCATATTTAAACCGGTTAATGAAGAAAACCGTATTTCTCGTGAACCAGTTTAAAAACCTGTTCAAAGGAGCTGAACGTTTTATGTAAAGTTTCGCATGTACTTACGTCGAACCGGTTCAAAAAAATTACCGGTTTCCAAGCCCTGCCCTTAAGCGGGGAATTCACTGGACAGGCATGCCCGCAGGCAAGTCTGCAGACATGCCTGCCAGACCTCGTTACTATAGGTCTGTGTCATGTCTGACTAGTGTAGGCCCGTGGCAGACTGCCTGTGATAGACCTACACTAGTCACACGAAAAAATGGCCGCCTACAATGACAATTTAGTATTTTTATTGAAATAAAAAAGAATAAGTACGGTACTTACGCATGAAATTATATCTTTTTTGCTTTTATCATTGTCAATGTGTAATTTTTGCATTGTTTAAACACGCAGGAAGACATTTTTTCTACAACTTTTTACAGAAAATTACGGGTGAACATAACATTAGCCATAACGCTTGTTGCATTAAAATGGAACTCGGGCAATAGGCTTGTGTCCAACAAGTGAAAATACAGGTTTTTGTTATATCTTCGAAAAATATGAACCATTTCAACTTATAAATGTTTAACAAAACAAATTTTAAGTCAATGATTTGGAAAATATTACGCTTTGGAAACTTGAAAAAGTACAGAAAATCTACTACAAAAATCTGCTAAAATACATAAGGCTTTAAATTAAATATAAAAAATGTTACAACTTTCATTATAACAGCTATAAACATAAACGCACAAATAACAAAGATATTACAAAAATTGTCCAGACGCCCATACATTTTTCGCTACTGTAGCACCATGTGACGTCACTGAGTGCTTTGAATTTGTAGGGAGCGTTTTCGGCCAACTAGCAGCAGTTCTACAAACACAGTACCGTATCTCCGAAACTATTAATCGCAGACATGCTGTTACTTCGATATTATTTCTCAGATGTTCATGGACTATTTATTTATGAAATAAAAAAAAAGTTGTCAACTAGCCTATTGCCTCGCTTTTTTTTGTTGTCAATGTTGTATGCAGATAACCGGATAACGGGATTGTAATATATTTTAAAATTAGATAATTACGCTACTGGTAATAAAGGAAGTCGCCGTCTTATAATAAAACAGGTACTATTTAATGTTGCAGTGGCATTACAGAATTAGATCGTTCGCGCCATTTTGTAGTTTATTTCTGATCGCGTGTATCTCGCTTTTATTATCTTCGCTTACATCTAAAATTATGCCACCAATTCGTCATAGTAAAGTTAATAATAAACTTTGAGTAACTCGGTCCGCGATCGTTGTTGCAAGCAACTTTCGCAAAGGTCGGACGGGATGGGTGACCAAAAAAATTATCTCGAGCTTCTCCGTGCTTTAGGACGTTAAGCCGTTGATCCCGGCTGCATTTACTACGTTAATACCCTCTAAACCACATTGGGCCCGCGTGAAGGGTCATGACCCATCCTCCTTAACCATCCGTAAGGCATCAGCCGTCGTGGGGACTTAAAAGGGCCGATGATTAACTAATGAAAAGTCAAAATTTAATGGGAAATGCACTAGGGAATATTAAATAATAAGATTTTCAGAGTTTTGTGCCCAATGGGTAATAACGGTACTCTATCACTAAGACAAACAGCGTTTTCTATCACCAGGCTGTTTCTCATGAAGCGTGATAATCAGACAGTTGAAACCTTCTCAGACAATGTATTTCTGTTGCCGCTATATCAACAAAAAAAAAACAATAAAATATTCCTTATAAGTTATAAGGAATATTTTATTGCTTTTTTTTTTAACAAAAACGTTTTTTTTTATCTTTTTCATAGATAATATCATGGACCGACACGCATTTGGCCGATCTCATTTATTTTAAAAAGTTAGTCTTTCCAAAATTAATTTGCGTGTTTTACAATGTTGTGGATTGAAATTCTTGATGGTTTCATATAAACATAAAAATATTTTAACAAACCATACAATCGGTCTTTTTTATCTATACTAATATCACTACACAGTATAAAACAAAGTCGCTTTCTCTGTATCCGTATGTATGCTTAAATCTTTAAAACTACGCAACGGATTTTGACGCGGTTTTTTTCATAGATAGGGTGATTCAAAAGGAAGGTTTTTATATATAATACAAGAAGCCGCTGGCGGAGAGCTAGTTTATTATTAACAGGAAATATTTCTTTATTTGTTTGCGTTAAATAGGGTCCTAAACTATTGTGGCGTAATTATCTAATTTTCCTCCCTCCTACAACTAAGATTTGTCATGATAGGGGGCAGACGAGCAGACGGATCACCTGATGGTAAGTGATTACCGACGCCCATGGACACCTGCAACACCAGAGGGGCTACAAGCGCACTGCCGACCTTGGAGGGAAGTGTTGTGGGGTAAAGGGAAGGGAAGGGTTGGGCCTCCGGTATCCTCACTCACACGACGAAACACAACGCAAGCGTTGCTTCACGTCGGTTTTCTGTGAGGCCGTGGTATCACTCCGGTCGAGCCGGCCCATTCATGCCGAAGCGTGGCAATTGCGATAAAGACGTTTTTTTAAAGATTGAATTAAGGATAACTATATATATATGTCGCATCATCATTACGAAGATCGTTTGATTTAGTTTCGTTTATTTTAATTGCTAGTTACCCGATTACTTAATTATTCGATTGTAAAGAGAGCGTGATCATCGATACTTTTAATTTTATTAGAATGGTGACACTGACTTTGACAGTTTGTTTATAAAAACCAAGTTGCCGCCATTTTGGCAGACATTCTGTTTCCGATCGCCGAGGAGTAAAGACATCTGACGACATCACGCTCATCTTGTTATATTTTCGTGTGAAAAGTGATAAAATGGAACAAATCCACGTTGATATACACGCCTGCAGTGTTATTTTAAAGATAGTTCTCCGATTATGGACTATCTATTTGGGCTTCATAATAGCCTGTTCTGACTACCCGCCGTTATATATATATTGAAATAACTATAAGTTACGAATATCTTTGCATGCTATTGGAAAATGTCAAACGAAATGTATTGTCTATGACATTTTTAACATTCAAATAATTATTCGATTAAGACATTAATTGTCACACAATTCCATATATCACTATCACACCGCTATAGGCTACAATTTAAGCGGACGAAGTCGCGGGAATACATCTAGTTAGCTACATAACTAACCTCTATCCTCCATATCTCGATGCCGGCTTTGTTGCCTGCGTTTGTAAATGCTTCATGTAGTACTTCAGCTGGCATTGCGTAAAATTCTGAGAAGAAAAGAAAGTATATAAATTATAGATCCTGCTGTACCACTTTTTAAATTAAACTTAAATAAAGTAATTTTATATTCTTAATGAAAAATACTTGAAAAAAACTACTTTGTCCCTGGCACTATGAGATGGGACTTGAACCCATGACCTTTCCAAAACGCGCGACTGCTCCAGCCACTGAAGTGTTAATCTTGTAATAAAATTATCTATTAAGTTACTACTAACGCCATCTATGGCGTACTGTATGGAACTATTATAAAGAATAAATTCTTCTCTTAAAGCGTCACTCGGTGCCTCATTTACAGGTTATGGGCCCAGTGTGCCTCATTTACATAAAGGACCAACGAATTTTTCAAGCACTCGTCACTTTTCGCTACTACAGAGCGTATTTTCATCAACGTTCGGCCAATACCCAAACATCATTATGATTATTTTTCAGTACAGCATTTGTGAACGCATAATTTATCACATTTAATGATTTGGACAAATTGTCATCTTCTGTAGTAGGCAAGTGCTTGAAAAATACGTTACAAATTAAAAACGCTACTTAAATCTTAGTGGTTTGTAACGTGCTTGGAAATGTATCTTATGAATTGTGAAATATTATTGATAATAAATAAATTTAAAAAAATGCAGATAAAAACAACACGTGATTAATGGATGGCTCCTGTCATAAAAGTTGTAGTTGATACGCTATTGAATTTCCATGCAAAATCTGAGATTGCGTCAGGAGTTAAAAATAAAAGTTAGTCTCTATTATTGAAAAATTCAGAATAATAAAATTCAAAAATAGTTTTACTTTTTCGACGCTTTATTCATAAAACTTTAAAAATATAATTGGAATCCCGAATACAAAAAGACGATCGGCAAAAAAAATATGGGAAGCGCGGGAAATAAAGTTATGCGTGCGCCATTTTTTCATATTCAGCCTAAAACCATAGACTAGTTTAATGAATAAAAAAAGATAGCGGTACTATCAGTGGCGGACTAACCCTGTCGGGGGCCCGGGGCGGGATTAGGTCCGTACCTACAACTTTTTACAACTGGTGCAGAAACTTGATTATGTGTTTACACCGCCTCCCCTGCTAAGACGCCTGCTAAAACTACGAAACTAAGAAATATAAGGCAGTACAACCCCAATTTATGATTTGATCAAGGGAACTTTCAGCCATTTGGAGGCCCCCCAGGATGAGAGTCTTAGTCCGCCACTGGGTACTATAATGAGTTTTATTTTTAATTTTATATATATGCGTTTATAAAGTGCGTATGTATAGATGCGTTTATAAAGTGCATTTGTTAGACATATTTTTTTTATATTCATATTTTAAAGAGGAAAGACGTGATTGCTTGTTCGTTTGCATTGGATAGGCCCCGGAACTATTGGACCGATTTATCTTTTATAAATCGGTTCAATAGTTCCGGGGCCTATCTCTCAGGAAAACTACATAATATGCGGCGGATAGGCTGTAATTTACGCAGGCGAAGTCGCGGGGAAACAGCTAGTTTGATAGAAATTGGTTCACAATTTAAGAAGAAATCGAAGAACGTACCTACCTTTATATGCTATACTTTAAAAAAAAAACAGAAAATCTTACTTTCAAATTCTGAATTCTAAATACGCAATCTTTTGTTTTAAGCTGAAATGGGTTATGTCATAACATATCATCTTAATATTTAGGTGATATCTGTTGGAAAGCGTATTTTGTTTTGTTATAAAAGGAAAACTACTGATTCGATTTCGTTAAAATTTTAATGGGATCACCTCGATCTATCAAGTTGTGAAATAAAAAATAGTAATTTTGAAAATCAGTAAACAATTGGCGAAAATATCGATATACAACGCCGTCGAAATGTCGCAAAAAATGTTGCAAGATAACTAACGCTATCATCATCAGCCCTTTTACGTCCCCACTGCAGGGGCTCAGGCCTTCCTTATGGATGGTTAAGGAGGATGGGCCATGACCCTCCACGCTGACCCAATGCGGATTGCGTATTAACGTCTGCAAATGCAGCTTAACGGCTTAAGGACCGACGGCTTAACGTGCCTTCCGAAGCACGGAGTAGCTCGAGATAATAATTTTTCGGTCACCCATCCCGTGACCGACCCTTGCAAAAGTTGCTTAGCCACAACGATCGCGGGCCGCGGCGCTTATCCACTACGCCACAGAGGTACTCCTAAGCTAACTAACGCTAACTATACTAATATTATAGTGAGAAATGATCTGATTTGGTTGTTTGCATCTAAAAGGGTCTGAAACTACTGGAGAGATTTAAAAAAAACACCAACGGGAAGCTACATCATACGTGGAAGACATAGGCTGTTATGTAAGCGGTCATAGTCTATAAAACAATGACACAAAAATATATTATAATATACTAGCTGACCCGGTAAACTTTTTACCACCATATTTTATTTCACCAGTGACTACTGAGGATTACTGTTTGTATGTTTGTTTGTAATGAATAGGTTCAAAAACTACTGGACCGATTTTAAAAATTCTTTCACCATTCGAAAGCTACATTATCCAAGAGTAACATAGGCTATATTTTATTTTGGAAAAAAATAAGGTTCCGTAGGATATTCGGGATTTTCGGAAACAAGGTGTAAAAAATCAACCAGAAAAGTTACTTATTTTGCGTACGCTGCCTAAACTATAAAAGATAGAACCATAAAATGTTCTAATTAATTGTAGATCTTATAAATATCTACAAAAAAGTCCGCGACACACTATACCTATCTATGTCGAGTGAGGCACAACAACCATTTTTTATTAAAAAAAATAATAATTTGTCTTTGGACTTCATTTAACCGCGTTTAATTTATCTTTGGACTTCATTTAAACGCGCCTATTAATCTTTATCAAAATAAATTATTTCATCACTAAGCACAGTTTATGTAGATAATATTTGGTCTTTGAATGATTAAAATTGGACGTTTGCTTTTGAAGTTATGGCGAAATTAAAATATTATGATTTCTGTTGCACGGCCCGTTGCGAAGTGGGCGTAAGGCACCAGCGGACCGATGGCGGAAATCCTATTATCCTATTAATATTATAAATGTGAAAGTTTCTTTGTTTGGATGTTTAGATGTTTGTCGGTCAATCACGCCGAAACTACTGAACGGATTTTAATGAAATTTGGTATACAGATAGGGTATTAGCTGACTCCTGCGCGATGTATGGCCTCCGGGCTGATCCCGCGCCTCGCCCACCGTGAGAGGGACATCGCTGAGTTTTAGTGGGTAAACTTCTGTTTCTTGTCTAGCCCCCTCGGGGGTGGGGCCACAGGAGGAGTCCCACATCACCCGTGGAGCCCGCGCAGGGTGAAGCGGGTATGCGTAATGCATTTCTCAGCGTCAAAAAAAAGATAATAGGATACTTCTTATCCCACTTAACATTTCCATAGGGTCCACGCGAGCGAAGCCGCTGGCGAAAGCTAGTATTAAATATTCTTACAACCCTTTCTGACAATAAGGAACACATATAAAACCGGCCAAGTGCGCGTCGGACTCGCGCACTGCAGGTTCCGTAAAAACCTATAGATATATATTAAAAATATTTTTATTATGTGATGTAATTAAACATTTACAGTGTTTTTAATAAACAAGGTTTAGCGTTGGAGTATAATTACGCTGAGACTGCACTTAGTATTAGTCAAAATTCATATTATTAAACAGAGACTTGGCAAAGGTTTACCTAGTACGAGGTTGTACGGAAGTAATATATACTCCTAGAAGGTAGTAGGTTTGCTTATTCTCTGTATAATATGAATTTGAACTAATACTAAAATCGCAATTTTAGAGTTAATTTGCTCTGACGCTAAACCTTGTTTATTTTTTATAACACTGTTACGGTTTTTCCTTTATTTGTGCCGTTGCTTCGTATCAAATTTCAAGATTTTCGTTGTCTCAGGTACTCCAAAGGGGCCTTTAGCTACTCATCTTGGAATCTGAGCGATGTATGTGATTTGTCTAATATTTATTTATTCTGTTTTTTATTTTGTATATGTTTTTATAGCGACAACACAAAACATTATACACAAGAAATAAAAATAAACTTGCCGTTCCAAGCTTCAGACTTCAAAAAACCAAAGGATCACTTCTTGGTAAATGCATTGCTATGTTCAATAAAGTTCCACAAAATGAAATTGACCTATCCGTAAATAAATTTAAAATTCATGTAAAGAACATACTTATGAGTAAAGGCTATTATAAAGTTGATGATTATTTTAAGGACCGCAATGCATGGAATTAATAGCCTTCGCTTTGTTCTATAACGACTAATTATATGTACAACCTATGTCCTACAGACTTTGAAAGTTGTATTTATTATTGTTATAATACGTACTATTTTGGTAATGACATGATTTATGCAATTGTCATTACTTATGATAAAGAGCTGGTGAGTTAAATAAAGACATTTTCTGTAATGAAAATTTCAACTGTGTTACTATTCTTGAGATAGATTCTGGTGACAGACTACTTTCGGTGAGGAACCCTAATAAGCAAATTGTTATGGTGTGAAGTTCGTGAATAGCTTTAGTTCATGAATATCTTTCCGTTATTAAATATAAATGGATTGCGATAGAGTTTAAACTAAGACAATTGAAAGTCTTTCACATATTGAAAACTATACATATCATACGCGGGTCAGCTAGTCACAAAAAGCCATGACGTAACTGGATCGATGCCCTAAAGCCATGGGGAATTGGGCCATGACATGGTTTATGTGATATATTACTAAAATATCAATGTTCAGTCGCCACGTTGGCGTTGAATTTTTTATAGACACATAGTTCATTAATTATAATATATATATAAATCTTGCGTTACTGAGTTGAAACTACTGAGTGTAGAAAGTTGATATTTGGAATGAAGATTCCTTAGGGAGTGTAGAGGAGCTAAGCTAACTAAAAGAGGATTTTTGAAAATTCCACCCCCAAGGGGCTACATTAGGGAATGAAAGTTTGTATGAAACTTCGTTACTACAAGTGCTAG